TTTTCAATTATTTTTGAATAACCTATACTTTAAATTTATCTTTGATTTTTGGATGTCTTGTATGAATCTCTTATGATTGATTCTAAGGCATCTAGTATGACTTTCATATGAGATTAGTGCATAAAATTATTAGTTTGCTAATTTGAAGTACTCAAAATCTTATTTTCTGATTATAGATTATATTAAAACTAAATTAACCCATTAGGGATATAATTAGGCTTTGTCCTTTTCATATGTTTTAAAAGGTTTCGTTGGGGTTATGTGAGATTTAGAATTAAGTGAATACTACTTTTGTGTACTAAGATATAAGATTTATGAGTTCAGACAGTTCTAACCCAATTTTGACAGAAAATAACATATATTAATTCTATTTATAAGTTCAGATAGTCCCAACCCAGTTTTAGTATTACAGAATAGGTATTGAATTAGAAGGATAGTTTAGCCTCCAAATAATTTTATTTTAAGCTAAAATTTGGTGTATATTTAGTTTTATATGTCTTTTATTTTTTACAAAATTTCATGATAATTTTAAGATCGTTTAGTCAACTAGAATAGTGAAGTTTCATAGAAAGATGCAATAGCTTAATTGATACTAATTAATTCATTTGATTTTAAAATAAATTATTGAAAAATTAGTGAAATATAGATAAATTTTTAGATTAAGTATAGTTTATTTTATAAAGGATTTTATGAAATTTTTTATGAATTATTTTAATAAATTATTATAAATCAATAATTCAAGAGGTAGAGTTCTTAATTAAGGTATCTTGTAACTCTATGCTCCTAATTTGATAGGTGTATCACTCCCTAAGACACTCCTTCACAAAGAATATGGTCTTTCATTGACATCTTTATTTTTAATTTTAATAAAATAAGTATAAGTTTAATTCACTACAAAATAATAATTATATAAATTATCGTATTCATAATAAATTTTGAAAAATATATTTCGAATGATATGATTATCATGAACGACACATAAACTAAATGTGAATGTATATATTTTGTAAGTATAAAAATGTATTAATTACGATCAAACATATTGTATACATACATATATGATGATGTACGATGTGGAAGTGAACGAATATATTACGACGTATGATGCATATATATGCTATGACGTATGGTGTGGGAGTGGATGTATAGATTATGACGTGCAATGTGAGAGTGCATGTATATATTACGATGACTTGCAATGTGGGAGTACACATATATGTTATGATATGGAGAATAGAAGTCCATGAATTTGCTATGTTTTCTATATGTGTATATAAGTATTTTAAATTATTTTAAGGTAGAATTGTATCTCTTTATTTTGTATATGCTATGTTGTAGGATTATGCTTACTAAATAAATCATAGAATGAGGTATTTACTGTTAATTGTCTTATGCCGATAATTTTGAAATATGATATATATATAACATGATGCATACTTACCTGAATAAAATTATAAATGCTTCGACACTCAAACCATATTTAGGTGCTCAACTAGATCGACATTAAATTGTTGAGCATCGACTAGTTGGCCCTCCCATTAGGCCACTTAGGCCTCAAACCCTACCACCACTTGCAGGTCGACCCATTCCTTCATTAGCTCTATCACCTCATTATGGAGGTGGTCAAGTTCGATCATCATGTGGCTAATGAAACTTTTTTATTTGTGCACTAGGTCAATTAGCCCCATGATATAATGGTGATGCCTCGAGCAAAAAGGGGACCTAAAGGTTAGCCAAAAAGAGATCTCAAGCTACAACATGTGAAAAAGAGAATGATACTTATCATCACCTTATTTTAAGACATGTCTATCATGACCTCCAAGGGTTATCATAGACTTTTTCACTAGAGGAAGAACCAATGACCCACGATAGTATCGAGCCGATGGATCCCTATAGTCTCAAATTTTTTGGACCCATGACAGAATCAAGTTGATGGGTCCCTATCATCCCAAATTTTTTAAGCCGCCTTCAAATTGGAGGGATTCATTCTCCTACATGCTGGACATCTTCAATGTGGCGAAAGGTGTCACCCTTCCTTTGCAAAGATCATAGACGTACTAGCACCTCGACTTATCTTGGATGACCCCACCTTAGGATCCTCACTCCTTGAGTCTCTTATGGACATTGACTTCTTCAGTATGACCTTTCACTACTTTGGATGCCCTTTAGTGAGGCCTTTGTCGATGATGATCCTTGGAGGCAGGCACAATGCTACAAGGATAGGTTGCTTGAGAATTATCGAAGTGACAACAAGCATAGACGAGGAAGCAGGGGGAGTGGGGGCACCAACGATTGACATGGAGGAGGTTGTACCCCCATTCTTCATTATGCAGAGACTCATCCTTGCAAAAACGAGGTAAGAAATTGTAATTTATGGATTGAGAAAACAAAGTTTGAGGAAGATATAAGAGTTTGAATTATATCTCGAGGAGTTGAGCTTAAGCCATCATCGATCAACTAGTCCTTGTCTATCTTTTTGATGTCTAGAGAAGATGATAGTACTTTTGCCCTTAAGCACTTGGTTCTTCTCCTTCGAGGACAGGGAAGGAGAGAGTTGTTGATTATGTATGTTGACCAATCGAGATTGAGACTCAATCCTGATCAATCTCGATAAAAAAAGAACCATACTTTCGAACTCTTCTTGGAAGTCAGAGCCCCCTTCATTTGAAACCCCTCCCTAGTTGTAAGTTAGTAGTCATTGGCCTTCTTGCACACTTGAAAGTATACGTGAAACAAGTCACAAGTCAGGGTAATATTGGCATGGCAATATTCCCTAATGAAGGCGATAAAATAGTATCACGAGTTAGGTATCATTTGAGAATGCAAAATCATCCACCACTCAAGGCATGCCATAATAAGTGAATGGAGGGGGAAACTGAGCCCAAACTTTGATGCATCGATGTATAGACAACAAAGGGATGTCGTTCGGACTGAGGCACTTAAATATCATACTTGGTTGGAATAGAGTATCAAACGTGCAAGCAGTCCAGATGCTCTAGGGTCAAGACAAAATCCTGATTATATAAACCATTTATGGTCTAACGTTCTCTCAAGATCTAGATATCAACTATTGCTTGCCCCTAGATTAGGAGGTAGTCGAGACCCCTACTGACCTTGAGCTACCTAAGGAGATAACTTCAACTCCTTCATCCACCAATTAACTAATGGATCGAAAATCAAAAGAGAGAAAGGAGGATATCTTCTCAACCTAAGGTTTGAGATGAAAGGAAAGTTTTTCGGACGTCGAAGAGGCAAAAAGGTGAAGATAGAGCAAAAAAAAAACTCAATGGGGCTCAAGGCCCCCACCATCGCAAAGATGGACTTTACAGGCCTAGACCATTACCTCAATTCTAAAAGTCCCATCAATGGTTTTCTACGTAAATTTCATGTGAGCTATCTCTTGCTTAACTTCCTCACTTAGTTGACTCAAGATTTTTTTCTCATTAAGGTGTTGATTGAAGCAAGTGTTGACAATATTGTGGCTAAACTAAAGCTTAATTGATACATTCTTCTTAAGCTCAATATCAAAATATGCCTAATGTGTCATTCTCGGGCTAAGCATCAAAGAGTGCGTGATGCGCTCTTTTCAAGCTAAGCATCAAAGAGTATTTGATACGCCTTCTCGAGTTAAGTATCAAAGACCGTCTAATGTGTTTTTCTCTGAGCATCAAAATGCGTCTTTCTCATATTAAGTATTAAAATGTGCTCAATGTGCTCTTCTTGAGCTAAGCATCAAACATCATATGATGCATCCTTCTTGAGTTAAGTATCAAAATATGCCCTTCTTGGTCTAAGCATCAAAATACGCTTGATGTGTCATTCTCGGGCTATGCATTAAAAATGTCTAATGTGTATTTCTCAAGCTAAGCATCAAAGAGTACTTGATGTGTCATTCTTAAGTATCAAAATGTACTCATTATATCCTTTTTGGGATAAGCATCAAAGAGTGTCCAATACATCTTTCTTAAGTTAAGCATCATATGTTCTTGGGCTAAAGATCAAAGTGCACTTGATACGCCCATACCAAAGTACACCTGATGCATCCTTCTTGTACAAATACCCTTAATATGCTCTTCTCAGGTTGAGCATCAAAATGCACTGAATACATCCTTTTTGGGATAAGCATAATGTAATGTCTTATGTGCCCTTCAAGCATCAAAGAGTCTTCGATGTAATTTTTTTGGACTAAGCATCACGATGCATGTAATTACGGCCTCCTTGGGCTAGAAAGACACTTGACGCACACACTCAATGCACCCGTTCCTCAAGCTGAGCTAGTGCTTACTCGATGCGTTAGTTGCCAAAGTGCTGAGCCATTACTTGGATGCATTTTGAATCTTCCAATCATGACTTAACATGTGACAATACATTTAGTAAACGAAAACACATCTCATTTAATATTTGTCCCATATCATAGAATATTCCCTTTAATTAAATTTATTATAAAAAATCATAATTGAGGTCAGTTATTATTTTACTTAAAATTCTCACCTTTCATTTTATAATGGACTAGAGCGTTAGAGAGATCATATTATGGCCATGGCCACTCGATCTCGGTCTTCATATAAATTAGCCATCAAATAAGCCTCCGAGTTCCTTTCGTCCATTGAGCAAGTATCCAATCTACTTCTAAACATATTATTAGACTTTCTACACATGAATTCAAATCAAATCGAATTAATTCGATCATCATTTAAGTTATTTAATCATTTAAATAAATAATAAGTTGTTCTTTGAATATACTTCTTTTAAGACTTAACTTGACATTGTGACGACGTGGTCAAAGAAAGTATAGGATTCATTAAAAAACAAAAAATTACCCGATGCCTTTTGCGAATCATATTGGGCTACAGACGGCGTGCAATTAGAAATAAAGAAAACAATTATTCATGGGCTTCAAGGCCCAACGAGCGGACCGTTTTCCCACTTCATTTAATATGCTTCCCTGTGTCTCGCAAGAACGCGAACCCCAAGAATGAGACCGCCTGCTAGACAACAAAGCAGGAAATGACACCAAAAGCTGCGCCCGCCACTGCTCCAAATATGACCGTTGAGTTGGTTTCTCTCTCCCTCCCTCCGTCGCTCGCTCTCGAGTCCCAACGATTTCTAAAGCCCTCTCGATCTAAGGATTTCTGGCCGTTGGATCGGTGATGAGGGGGCCATATGATGGGAGAGGACAACGTACCCCAACCCCAGTCGTCTGTTTGTATAAGATGCCTGCCCATTTTGATGTGCTCCCCTACCTCCAGCCCTCGTCACCCGTCGCCCCTCCTCCCCCCGCCCCACTCTCTCTCTCTCCCCCTCCTTTTGAAATCCTTGTCTAGGTCGGGATCGAGAACAAAGATGTGGAGTTACTGGGCTGCCGTCGCTCCACCGCCGCATGCGTTCCGGAGAAAGAGGGTGAAATCGATGGCGCTTCGTCTCCTGTTCCTCTTTTTATCTCTCTCTGCGATCTACGCCGACGAAGGTGAGGTCCATTCGATCCTCCATACCCCAAGCATCTTTTCCGGCTTCTTGGTTGAGGGATCGTTTCGCCCTTTCTCTTTCTTCACGAAATCTTCTCAGCTCTTCGTTTGATCGATGCGATTCGTTCTCGATGTACACGCTTGCTTGTATGCTTTCATGTTCAAAGATGCAGCAACTAATGTTTTTGAGTGACGCCGAGTTTTCCTGAGCTGTTAATTAAGACGACTATTTATATATTTCATTTCTTGCATATATTTTTTGGATTATTATTATTACGTTGGAAGGGCTTCTTTTCTTCGAGCGTACGCTTGGCTCTGTAGATATAGGCGGAGAACGAGGCACGCAGGTCGGTGGGGCCCGCAAGAGCATCATTAAGGTTCATCGCGTGGTGTTTCGCGCTCGTTCGATTCTGCGGTGGGCTTCTTTTTGTTGTTTTTAGTCTACATGGATAAAAAAGGGTGAGCAATGGCCGAATGCTATCATATTTCCCCTGTCCCCACCACGAGATACCAAAGCAACGGTCGGTGATCCACTGCTTTCTGCTTGAACACATTATATTTATATTTTCTGTTCATGCATCCTTTTTCTTGTCTCTGTCGGAGAATGTGGCGAAAACACTTGTGCGAATCTGTGTCGACCGTCCAATACGAGTCACAAACCTTTACTAGTGGACGGTTGAGATCGACTGTCGTGCATCACCTTTTGATTCGTGCGTTGGTCCCACACTCGGTTGTTTCGCGCCCTTGTTCTTGTTGCTTTACAGCTAGCTGTCTTTGCTTCTTGTGCCTCCAGACCACGTTAATCTGACACCAATTATAACTTATAATCATATTGATATTTGTCTGTATTTTGCGTACTTTTATCACTCTCTCGTAATATTCACTAACCTGCGCCAAATTTCGGTGGTTGCGATGGTGGGCCACGGCAGGGGCGTACATCGGCGTCAACGTCGGCACGGCGCTGTCGAACATGCCGTCGCCGACGATGGTGGCGGCGCTGTTGAAGTCGCAGCAGATCCGCAACGTACGGCTTTACGACGCCGACCCGGCCATGTTGGCCGCCCTTACCAACACCGGCATCCGCGTCACCGTCTCCGTCCCAAACGAGCAGCTCCTCGCCGTCGGCCAGTCCAACGCCACCGCCGCCAACTGGGTCGCCCGCAACGTCGTCGCCCACGTCCCCGCCGTCAACATCACCGCCATCGCCGTCGGCTCCGAGGTCTTGACCGCTCTCCCCAACGCCGCCCCCTTGCTCGTGCCCGCGCTACGCTACATCCACTCCGCGCTCGTGGCCGCCAACCTCGACGGCGTCATTAAGGTCTCCACGCCGCACTCCTCCTCCTTGATCCTCGACTCCTTCCCGCCGTCGCAGGCCTTCTTCAACCGCACCCTCGAGCCGGTCTTCGTCCCCATGCTCAAGTTTCTCCAGTCCACCGGTTCCTATCTCATGCTCAACGTCTACCCCTACTACGACTACCTGCAATCAAACGGCATCATCCCATTGGATTACGCTCTTTTCCGCCCTCTTCCACCGAACAAGGAGGCGGTCGACGCCAACACCCTTCTCCACTACACCAATGTCTTCGATGCAGTCGTCGACGCCGCCTACTTCGCCATGGCCTACCTCAACGTCACCAATTTGCCGGTCGTCGTCATGGAGTCAGGGTGGCCGCACAAGGGTGACCCGACGACGGAGCCTGACGCCACCACCGACAATGCGAACACCTACAACAGCAACCTCATCCGCCATGTGATCAACAGTACCGGCACGCCCAAGCACCCAGGGGTCTCGGTGCCCACCTACATTTACGAGCTCTACGACGAGGATCTCCGCCCAGGGGTGACGTCGGAGAAGTTCTGGGGGTTGTTCGATGCGAATGGCGTGCCGGCGTACACGCTGCACCTGACGGGGTCGGGGATGCTGCTGGCGAATGACACCTCGAGCCAGACGTTTTGTGTCGCCAAGGAGGGAGCAGACGAGAAGTTGCTGCAAGCGGGGATCGACTGGGCGTGCGGGCCAGGGAAGGTGGATTGTTCTCTCCTGACGCAGGGGAAGCCCTGCTATGACCCTGACACAGTGGAGGCGCACGCTTCATATGCGTTTAACGAGTATTACCATGGGATGGGGATGGCAGTCGGGACATGCCACTTCAGCGGGGTTGCTGCTATCACCACAACAGATCCAAGTAAGCAACACAACATCCAACTTCCTTTTTCTTGCTCTTTGAACCTGTCTTTTCCTTTTTAGGATTTAATTCTGTAATTCCTGAAAAACTATGACACCCTTATCTTCTTATCTATCTAGTAATCATTGAGAAGTCAAAGTTTCTTAATTATAGAAAATCTTAAAGTGCATTAAAATCAGGACATAGTAGATTGAGCACTTCAGTTCTATGTTTTGGAACCTGGTTTAATTGTTTATGCACCTACCTATGAGTAAGCAACACGACATCCAACTTCCTCTCTGGCTCTTTGAACCTGTCTTTTCCTTTTAGGATTTAATTCTATAATCCCTGAAAAACTATGACACCCTTATCTTCTTATCTAGTAATCATAGAGAAGTTAAAGTTTCTTAATTATAGAAATTTTTAAGTCAATTAAAATCAGGACATCGTAGATTGAACACTTAAGTTCTATGTTTTGCAACCTGGTTTAATTGTATATGCACCTACCTATGATACACAAATGGCCCAGATACTGCTATGTCTGTCGGCAGACGTGTAGGTTGCATCGCTCAAATTATTGCTTGATGTCAACAGATTAACGGTGCATTAATATACTGCTCTTAACATAGTATGAGATATGAGCCACTGGCTGTATAATAGAGTAATTAAATCTAGCATGATTGTGTAGAGTGGTTGTGTTCTCTTCGTTCTGGTTACACTTGGTAATATCTGGGCGTTTTCTTTCATGCAGGTCATGACTCTTGTTTGTTTTCTGGAAGGTATGTGATCGTCATATTGAGATTGCAATTTTTAGTCAGAATTTTTTTGTTTATTATCAATTTCAGTACCTTCTTGAATAACATAAGTGGATCAAATCATTTGATAAATCAGTTTGTGTCCATATGAGATTTGACCATCTCATACTTGAGTTAATTATCACATCTGCGGAGAGTTGAGGTTCTTGGATGGGTTAGCAAAATAGTTGTATTTAATTTGATTATATACACTTAGGTGGGAAGATTACATGAATTGCATATTATCGTCAACATCAAATGTGGTAGTAGGTTGTTACGTCAATTTGGAAATTAATTTAACAAGGATCTCTGTATGCAATTCTGACACATTTTGGTTGGTATGGGCATGTGCACATATATTCATGGTAAAACATATGAAACTTAAAATTGAGAACTTGGTCACCTTCATATTAAATTTGTTTGGTCAACATGCCTGCAAATGTTTTATTCCAAGAACTGCTTTGAAGGAAATTTGAAACAGACAATTTTGGTTATAAAAAAGTTTGATAGGGATACAATATAAGCTTGGTGAATCTTTTGATGAAATGGATTCATCTTATTGTTTCTCCAAATAGAAAGGGCTTCACAACCTGTGAACAGTATATTCTTAGCGTAATTATTTGTTATGTATAAAGTACATTTCATATTACATGTGTGTGATAGACTAGATAACGATTAGCTTGATGTTATTACTTTCTGCATTTGCTAGATAATGATTAGCTTGCTCTAGACAGGGCTTAAATTCAACCCTTACTGAACTATTTTCTTCTTTTCGGCAGTGGTGGGAGAAATGGCACGGTTCTGAATGGCACCTCATTGGCTACTTCCCCTAACTCAACTTCATCCACGTCTAGTGATGCTCACAGTTTCTACCAATCCAAAGTAGTTCTTCAAATCGTTGAAGCTCTACTATCGGGACTGGTGTTTTTGTAGGTTGTGATCTCTTCATTCGTTGAGTGATCAGAAGACTGGAACTCACAGAATTTTGATCAAACCTGGATGACAAAGTGATGGATGCGCTGTGGGTAATCCATGTAGAATTTGTTGTGTCACATCCAATTTCATCTTGTGCTCAGGAGTTGAGGTTCATCATTGAAAGAGGATTAAATTTCTCTGTCATTTATTTTTCTGCATGCCAATATTTGTAAAAAGCCTAGTTGGTACTCCTGTTTGATCGTTTATTATTCGAGGTTTTATCATTTATCCTTTATTGAGTCCATTTAAAGAGTTGTTGGCTGCTCGTTCTGACCAAATCGAGCTTGGGACCTGAAGTAATGCTTTGACTCGATCTCAGATTTATCTTGGATCTAACTATCTGATGGCAGCACCAACCCACCCTTTCTTGTTTGTCATTGGAAGACTTCTTCTACATGCTGGTAATTTGCTACTGCCTTGTTCTGTTCCAGTGGATTGTGGACTTAACTGCAGATGTTATAATGATTGGAACTTGTAATGTATGAAACGTTTAAAGCTTGTGCAACCAGCCGGCAAAATGCTATGGATGCTGATATCATGGAATCTCAAGTAGCACAAAGCCAGGATAAAACCGAGGTAAGCCTGAGCTTTTGTTAGAAATGTATTGAATGCCTTATTGATCCTAATGCTTTCTGTGCTAATACCCCTCGTAGTCACCGATGTTCCATAAAGAAGGAAATGTGTTTGAATGCCATATGGACTAGCTTTTCAAATGCTGTTTGTCCTGCGAATTCCCAAGAAATTGATGCCTAATAAGGAAATATAGATTAGATGAGGGAGTGCCTTTAGGAACATATTTGAAATTTAAATTAAGGTTCCAATATGTATTTTAAATGTGAATTGATGCTTAATAATTTTTTTTTTAAATTACATTTGAACTAGATGTTAATGTAATTTTTTAAATCTCAAAAGTGCCTTTTGACTTTATTTAAAATTATAATATTATTAAAATAATTTAGTGAGAAATTAATATGATTTATATTTTTTATAAGATGAAATTTTTTATATTTATTTATTTATATGATTATATATTTTTATTTATTATATATTTGGGTCGACTGAAAATTTTTATAAGATTATATTCATTCATTTTTATTAATTTATTTATTATTTTAAATAAAAAAATGTATTAAGAAATATTGAAAATATTAGAAGGGTAAATTTTTGATAAAATGTTTTAATGAACTCTTGAAATATAATTTTATGAAATATCACTTACATCAATATATATATATATATAATATATATAATTTTTATTTATTATTTATTAAATACTTCAAATATTTCATAACTATACATTCATTCAAATATTTTTAAAATTACATATTAAAATTAAATATATTTTCAAAAATAACTTGGAACATGTAGCTCTTTCAATTGAAGGTTTAGACAACCAACTCTTTACTCTCTTTGGATGGACAGTGAAGACCGCAATCAACCTGCAGTAATAATAAGGGGGAGAGTTGGAACTCACGAAGCATCGCCTGAATTAGAAGACCATAACTTAGTCGGTTAGTGCATTGCTTTCCACCACCAACTGCACCAACAGTGGACATTGACGGTGCACACCGGATGCGGTTCACTGTCGGTCGTAGCTCTCGTTCGCTCGGACCGGATCGGGTTTCCGGTTCAGTTCGGGTCGTCATTTAACTCGCGCGACTCTTCCATTACGCTGGTCTCCTTCTCCCCTAGTTCGGTAATCTTAGGCCGTTGGATCGGCTTTTAGATCCGTTATTATGTGTTTTCGGTATTGCGTGAGGCGCGGATAATATAGGACGACGCGTACGGTAAAAACGAGCGCCCACTCGCTTCTGCTGTAGTGGAGTTTACCTCCGGCTCCCCTACCTCAAATTATTTGCGACGAGGGCGACTGGAGGAGGAGGGGGACACAGTTAGGGTGGGTTCCTTCCGAAAGTGATCGGCTCGATCGAAACCCATGGAAGAAGATCTCAATCGCGATCGAGGAGGAAGGAGTCCTAGTTCTTGGAGTGGGAGCTCAGATCGCATTTCGGATTTTTCCTTTCTTTGTTTTGTTTCGATGTGAGAGATCGCGTCGGATCCAGGATGTCAGATCTGTTCGACGACGGCGGGGAGGGGTTCGCTTGCGAGGCCACCTGGGGGAACGCGACGCCGGCGGTCGTGATGGCGTCTGCTTCGTTCAAGGGCGAGGGGAAGGCGGCGCCGGCACTGAGGCGAAGGGCTTCCATGAAGCCGAACGTGGAGGTGGAGGAGTTCATCAATTTGCTCCATGGATCGGATCCGGTGAGGGTCGAGCTCAATAGGCTCGAGAATGAAGTTAGAGGTGCGACTAAGCTTTGTTAGGTGTTATCTTCGTATTTGTTTTCTTTAGCTCTAAGTTTGGATTAGTTAGCGTTGCGCACCGAAGTTGGTTTACATTTCTTGTGTGTGTGCAGACAAAGATCGTGAATTGTCAGAGGCACAGTCGGAGATCAAGGCTCTGCGGTTGTCTGAGCGTGCGAGAGAGAAGGCAGTCGAAGAGGCGAGTAGATTTTGCATCATGTTTCCTTGTTAATTTCTGCTTTTTTTCCCCTTATATCTCTTCATGTCTGTTGGCTGATCTTTCGATGAGAATGCTTTATTTCATGCTACTGCATGTGTCGAGTACAGAATTTCTACTCATTTCCTTACATGTCATCTAATTGGACTTATAATCTTCGTTGTCAAAGTCAAAATGTCAATTTTCAGCTTATTTCCATTTTATGGATCTACACTTTATGCATCTCGCTGTTCATATTTGTTGCTATACTCTCCAGGATAAAATTGTGCTGAAGATTGAATCTTCTGGGGCTTCAGGCAAATTAATTTTTTGCATGTGCACGAAGCTGCTCTGTCATTTCATTAAATCTAGTACATGCTTTTGTTGGTTTTAGTGAAATGAAATCGGATCATAGCGTTCAATAGTGCATTCAGGGAATGCTATCTCCAGGGAGACGTGTTAATTTCTTTTACAGTGGTCTGTTAGTTTTGCATTTCATTGGAATGCCTGAGCTGCTGAGCATATCAGAGTAGTTGCTGTTTCTAATTGTTGTTGCAATTTCTTAACCATGTGTTTCTATAATTTTTTAAACTCCAATCTATGTAAAGAATAGTCTGAGCCAAGCCAGGAAACTATTGGGCTGCAGTCTGATTTTTCTCTTACCTATGTCAGCTGACAGAAGAATTGACTAAGATGGATGAGAAGCTCAAGCTCACTGAATCACTTCTTGAAAACAGGGTATTGCATATAATTTGTTAAATTTCTTCTGAACTGTTTTTTTTTTTTTGTATTATTCTGTCACAAGGCTGTGATTGATGAGAAAGTGTCTGAGCAGAATCTTGAAATTAAGAAAATAAATGACGAGAAAAGGGAAGCCTTGGCTGCCCAGTTTGCAGCAGAGGCAACACTTAGAAGAGTTCATTCAGCTCAAAAAGATGATGACATGCCCCCAATTGAAGCCATTCTCGCACCTCTTGAGGCAGAGTTGAAGCTCACACGGCACGAGGTATCATTTAGAAATTTGCTCCTGCAAAACCTTGTCACTTTGCTAAAAAATGATACCTGTGACTAGCAACCACCCCCCTTGTGTCTTGAGTTCATAAACAACATAATTTGTCATGCGATATCTATTCTAGTGTTTTCATTTTTGTTGTAGTCTTGTCCCTTCCTTTAAGCAAGTTATGCTTTTCTGTTTATGTGAATTCTTATGTCTTTAGTATTTCTGTTTTTACTAAAAAAATAGCACTGCTGATTATTAGAAAAAGAAAAAGGAAGGAGTATTGCTAGTTTTTTTAACATCTTCTGTTGTTGCTTCTACTATTTATTTTTCATTACTCGATTCCAATTTACCAACCAAAGTACTACCTTCTACTGGCTGAACTTTTGTTACTCTGAGCTTTGATCTAATATTTTATGGACATTACTTAACCAAAGTTGTCACCATATTTTTATGTTACTTGTAATGTTTTTTTAAGAGACTAATTGCTAATTTTTCTGTTGGTTATATATTAGACAGCTCTAGATTCCTCGGGCTTAACACCTTAGAATTCTCCATATGGCAGAAAAATTGGAGCTAGAAAGCCTAGAAACTTTGAAGATGTCTCCCCTAAGCCATTGATACTGATCAATGCTACTTCCCATCTGCAGAATGTGAAGCTACAGGATGACAACAGAGCATTAGATCGTCTTACCAAATCAAAGGAAGTGGCACTATTGGAAGCAGAACGGACTGTACAGATTGCTTTAGCAAAGGCTTCTTTAGTGGATGATCTACAAAATAAGAACCAGGATTTAATGAAACAAATTGAGATCTGTCAGGTGCCCTGAAGAAGATGCTTAATTATTTTCCAGACGTGGATTAGCATCAGAGTCTGCAGGTTATGATGCTAACAAACAATCTCATTCTGTCCACTGTTTGCTTTCTTTAGGAAGAGAACAAGATCTTGGATAAAATGCACCGACAAAAGGTTGCTGAGGTTGAAAAGCTTAGCCAGACTGTGCGAGAACTAGAAGAGGCTGTTCTTGCAGGGGGCGCAGCTGCAAATGCTGTTAGAGATTACCAGCGAAAAGTTCAGGAGATGAGTGTAATATGTTGTGCTTTATTAAGATCTTTTGTAGCTGGAGATTTTTCTTCATAAAGCTACTTTTATGTTTCTAGAGGACAGTGTAGAGTGTTATCATTATTTTATTGTTTATTTGTTCAGGAAGAGATGAAAATTCTTGACCGTGAACTTGCTCGAGCCAAGGTCACAGCTAATAGGGTTGCAGTGGTGGTGGCAAATGAATGGAAAGATGCCAATGACAAAGTAATGCCTGTTAAACAGTGGCTTGAAGAGCGAAGGTTCATGCAGGTTAGTGTTAATTGTTTGATGTACTTTAAGATGTGGATGCTACATTTAGGAATTTTTCTTGATTTCAAAATTATGCCACTTCTTTATTCGAAACATTGCATCTGATATACTCAGTTCCCACTTTTTTTTTTTATGGTAAATTTTGTCATCAAATACATTTATTTGCAGGGTGAAATGCAGCAACTTCGAGATAAGCTTGCTATAGCTGAACGTACTGCAAGATCCGAAGCTCAGTTGAAAGTAAAATGCTATACTTTGAAACACTAACATTTTTATTTTCAATATGCTGCCTTGTAAAGCAAGATACTTATTTACAAGTCAACAGATCAAATGAGGTTGCTATTTTGAACTTTCAGGAGAAGTTTCAGTTACGGCTCAAGGTTTTAGAAGAGGGATTGAGAATTTCAGCAAGTGGTACTAATCGAACTAGTGTAGATGGAAAGAGTACAAGCAATAGTCCTTCAGGTCGTCAATCCCTTTGTGGAGCTGATAATGTGACAAAGAGTGTTGATGGCTTCCTATCAAAGAGACCATCTTTTCAGATGAGGTATTCTATTTCTGGTAGCACAGTGTTGAAACATGCCAAAGGGGCATCAAAGTCATTTGATGGTGGCACTAGGTCTTTAGATCGCAGCAAAGTCCTTGTGAATGCAGCAGGTCTATCAATGAACGAATCATCTGATGCAACTGAGAGTGATGTCTCACGTAACAGTTGGAAGGAAAATCCAGATAAGAGAACTAGTGAGTTACCTGATGTTGACTCAGTTGATTGTGTCTCTGGGCTACTGTATGACATATTGCAAAGGGAGGTAATCACACTCAGAAAAGCATGCTATGAGAAGGACCAAAGCTTAAAAGACAAAGATGATGCAATTGAGGTAAACATCCTGTCAATATCGTTGCAACAGAGTTCTGCTCCCATTTCCAAACTCATTTCACTCTTCTGTGAGCCTTTTAAATTAGATGCTGGCCAAGAAAGTTGATACATTGACTAAAGCAATGGAGGTGGAGGCAAAAAAGATGAGAAGAGAAGTAGCTTTAATGGAGAAAGAAGTGGCTGCTATGCGAGTGGAGAAAGAACAAGATAACAAGTCTAAGCGACTTGGAGGTTCCAAGGGTCCAACAAATAGTTCTCAATTGCTGCCAGGAAGGTATTACATATATATATTCTTATATGTGGTGCTTGGGATCAATTGGCTAAGGTTCTTCTTGCCATTTATTAATTCCTTTTGATGCTTTTGGTCTTGATCTGTATCATTCTGGGATCTTTTTCAACAATACTGTGTGTTAACTGTCTTGGGCTATGCATTGGATAGTGGTTTGGAAGTTTACATTTATGAAAGGGATCTTATTAAAAACATTGGCAGGCAGGTTGTTGGATAATTTATTTTTTTTAGGATTTACATCCTGTCATTTATTCAAAACTTGTCTTTTTGAAAAATTGAGTTTGTCATTAATTGTCACAACTATATCAACCAGTGTAGTTATAGTTTGTGGCTGCCTGAATCTGTCCTTATCTTTTGCTACATAATAATTACTGATTATAGTTAAGATGTTAATTGTCACAACTATATCAACCAGTGTAGTTATAGTTTTTAGGATTTACATCCTGTCATTTATTCAAAACTTGTCTTTTTGAAAATTTGAGTTTCTCATTAATTGTCACAACTATATCAACCAGTCTGGTTATAGTTTGTGGCTGCCTGAGTCTGTCCTTATCTTTTGCTACATAATAATTACTGATTATAGTTAAGATGTTAATCTTGAGCATGCCTTAACGGAATTTGTCATCTTGATTGTTTCAGAGTCCTTCCATCTCAATTCCAGCATTGACTGGTAAATATCGTGATCAGCATGAGAACGAGTGTGCCTCTAATTCGCTATAATATGTGCTGCAAGCTAAAACTCACTTGTTTTATACTGTGGTAAATGTATTAGAATCTAAATCTTAAAAATTAGTTTAGAGACTTATGACGATGAAGTAATACATCATGTAATGTTTGAACTCAAATTTTGGGTCTCATGTTTACAAAATTGTGAAATTTCTTTTCAGTTATATAATTACTGTTCTTTTTCTTCCAAATTCAGGAATGCCCCTCGAAGTGGGTTGACGCGCAATCTATAGCATGGAAATGCAATGTTTGCACGTGTGAAAAGGAAATCCAAGCTAGCTCTTTCATCTCTTTACCTTCTCATTTTCTCTTGATATTTAGACCAAAATGGGCGCCAGATGACCCCCCAACACTTCAGTGAGAGCTCATATGGAGAAATGGGGTGCTCTTGCAGTTGACTTTGGCTGTAGTTGGTTACCGCAAGTGATGCATGGGTTTGCTATAGGCATGACATGTCATTTTGGTAGGACAGTGTCTTTGTATGTATGTGAGGCCTGGTATATCCTTGTTCTTAAGCATTTTGCAGGCATCCTTTATATCGTGTTTCTTTTTTTCTATTCTTTTCTTATTTCTTTTCCAAGGATGTGAATATAATATAATGTAATAATAGATTTATGTGTGCTATACGATCTACTTGTTTTGCCTTTTAGATTTGTGCAGTGTGCTAGATTTATGTGTCTTTTAGATTTGTTATACACAAATTGACTGAGTCTTGATTTCAACTAGTCTGGCCAGTATGACAGCATGTGCATTTGTCTGATTTACTATTTGCCTTATCAGAACTTCAGCAAAAGCATATGATGCCCAAGTTTAGTTGAACTGGTACATGTGAAGTCACAAGTTCGTGTTATGAGTTCAAACCATAAATTTGTCTTGCATGATTTTACATTGCATCTTCTCATGATATTTCTACCGGGCAATAGTAGTCAACGTGGGTGTTGTGTATTATGACTCATCAACTCTATATTTTTTTTTCTTCTTTAAAGAATAATGGATGAAGATGAGATTAGAGCATATTAGCATCTGACTTTTCCAGGCCACAAATATGAGAGAGATTGGCCCTTCTACAAGCTGACTTCCGTTCCTCAAGGCAAATAACACGTTGAGGTTAGTGTCACTTCTCTAACAAAGTTGCCATATTTTAAACTTCTTCTGCAATATTCTCATGGAACGCCCAAATGGCTGAATGCAGGCATTTCGTATGTGGCTTTGACGAGGATAAACACAACACGCATATCGATATCAAACATTTATAGATAGAGGATAAGCAGAGCAACCTACTTGCAGATGACACTTTCGCTGCGGAATATTGTCTGCGAGCAAGTGATTTGACTGTTTAAGTCCTTTCGTCATGCTGTAATAAGAGATGCGGACTTTTCCACTTAATTAACCATTCTGAGATCTAGAATACTGAACTGTGGCAATCCTAGCTTGACTAAATTGAACGCAGATTCGATTCAAGAGGGTGTAAAAGCTGCAGCATCCTTCATCAAATCAGGTACACATGCTCCTTTGGCATTGAATTTTCCTCCCGTTTATTGACTGACCTTGAAGACTAGCTTTTTTAGAACATACAGATACCACAGAAAAGCCATAATGATTATTGATTGCATGGAATGGAATCTAGGAGGAAGCAAGCCACGGAGGTTAAAACCCGGTGACATATTCTGCTGGATTTCAGTCGAAAAGTCTACAAAGTTTTTATTGATAAAGCCAAGAGGCGACTTTGTTGGAGTCTTGAACCCACCAGTGATGGATAGGTACATCTCTCCATCTCTTCAAGATAAGTACATCTCTCCATCTCTTCAACCTTTAAAACAGAAGTTGGAGATCGCTTTCACCTTGTCAATTATTGATGTTTACCTTGGGCTTATCATAGAAATATTTTGTTTCTTTTTGTTTTTTAAGGATATTGTGGAGGGCATAAGAGGTAGGAAAGTCACTTAGCCCACAAGTATGGTATGAAACTACTTTAGCTCGTCAAGGAAGAATCATTCACCATAATAATGAGATACATGTTCAACTTTGCAGAAGAACATTTCACCAGAAGGGTCTATGATCCAAGTAAAAAGTAACTTCTTCTTAAGTTGGTTGCAGAACAAATGAATCTGCATTCAAAGTTAATTGTGATGATAAGTCGTTCTAAACAATAAGAAACAAATGAATCTGCAGCAACGTTAGATTATTCTTTTTTTTATATATAATCCTTTTATTTTTTTATGAACAGATAAAAGTGTATTGATGTCACGAGATTTTCTGACGCATTAGGGTCTACTTTGAATCTTATTTAACAATTTCATAGTTATAAGTTCGGGAAAATTCTAACAATTTGAAATGTGCATCGATCGTTCAACATTGAGACCCCCGTAGATCAATTGACCCCATGAAATGAGACTTTGAAAGGTAGTCAGAATTGAGAATAAATTCGATCGCTCCCAACAAACGATAAAATGATAGGGAGGGGGGGGACGTTCTTCGTTGGTTTGTAAAGAAAGGTCAGGTATCAGCGTTAGATGATTCATCATATCCCTTAGCTGCCTCCTTAATAAACCATTAACGTCACTCTCATTGCTATCACCTTAATAAACTAAGTCCTGATTTGTTAGCTGAAATTGGTTATCCGATGCATGACATGGAAACATTATTAATCCAAAACTAACCTCCAGCGTAGTTCACTGCAGAGCCAACAACGCACTTCCGCCACCGAACGCACATTAAAGTAAACCTAAACATAACTAAATCGCGTAACTAATAGAGGAAAAGACAAAGTGGGGCAACTCGGAAGTTGGGGGAGTAGGAGCAGCCGTCCACCACTATGCACACAGGAAACGACAACCCCTCGGGGGGCCGAGTCACGACTCGTCCGAGTCCTCCCGCAACAGGTCCCGGAGCGCCCGCTCCGACTCGACCCCGTCCGCCCCCGCCACGAAGGGGTGCCCCAGCAGCTCCGCCACTGACCACCTCTTCCCGCTCTCCTTCTGCAGGCAGCACTCGATGAAACCCCGGAACTCTCCCGAGGCCGCCCTCTCCGTCACCGCCCGCGCTGCCTCCCCGAAGCAGATCGCCACCATCAGCGTCGCCCAGTCGGGGCGCGCCCCTTCCGGGAGCAGCGGGAAGTGGCCTCGGTGCAGCTCCAGCACCGCCAGGCCCAGGCTCCACACGTCGGCCGCGTAGGGGTCGTAGTCGCCGCCGTGCGACTCCGGGTCGAACCGCTCCGGACTCATATAGGCGCACGTGCCCACGTAGGAGTCACAGGGGTCGAGGGACCGCCGGAGCACCTTGCCCACCCCGAAGTCAGCGATCTTGACCTCGCCGGCGGCGTTGATGAGGAGGTTGGCGGGCTTGATATCGCGGTGGACGATGTTGCGGGAGTGGAGCTCGGCCAGACCGAGGAGGGCCTGGCGAGCGATAGCGGCGACGGCGGGCTCCGGGAAGGGCCGGCGGCGGAGCAGGGCGTCGAGGGACCCGCCGTCCATGTGCTCGAGGAGGAGAGCGACGTCGCCGGAGGGGGTGGGGACGACGGCGTGGAACCGGACGACGTGGTTGGATTCAGCCACACGGCGGAGGATGTCGACCTCGCGGTACACCTGGCAGCGGAGGGCGGCATCGGTGTGCACCACCTTGAGGGCGTACACGGCGGCGGTGCGGCGGTGACGCACCTTGTAGACGGTGCCCCCGTTGCCGTGGCCGAGGACCCGGAGCTTCTCGAAGTCCGAGATCCGGAACTCGGCCGACGGGGCGGGGGCGGGGGCGGGGGCGGACGAGGAAGAAGACGTGGAGCACGGAATCATCGTCGTCGTCGGCGGCGGCGGCGGAAGGGGAAATCGAAGGCCGCACCCGGAGGCGGAAGCGGGGTCGGGGATCTCGAGGGTGAGATTGAGGTGGGGGAGCCTTCGCTCACGGACGATGGCCATGGAGAAGAGGGAAGTCGGAGCTCGAAATGGTATCGACAGGAGAAGGTTCGAGGGATGGCGTCTTTTATCAGGATCGAGTGTGATATGCGAAGAGGATGAGTGCGTGCGCATGTGGTCACCGACCTTGAGATCACCGAAAGCAAATGGCCCGTTAACTCCTCGTGGGAATCTGAGGTGACGTGGGCGGTGAGCGGATGGGCTGGAAGCCGTGAGCGAGACGTGGAGAGGGATGTGATAATACAAGTACTGTGAGGGTATGTGTTTCTTCTTTTGGTAGTATTTGTAATGCCCACAGAACCAAATCGACCTAAGAACTTGCACGTGTTACTTCTACGCGATGGCGGGACCCTTCTATTTCTGAGGAATCCTTTATTTTATATTATATTATATTACTGCATACGAATTTCCAGAAAAATCTTTTATTCTTGCGATTTTTTTCCCTCATTTTTAAAAACTTCAAATAATATTCTTTTTTACCTAATATTTAAAAATCAGATCATAGAGTGAACCTATCCGATCATAATATTTTAGTAACACTAAAAGAATATTATAATCGAATATAAAAAATATGATAATAGTAATTTTATATAAACTTATAAAAAATATTAAATTTACAATATTTGACACTTTCGTTATACTGTTTTGTTTTCAATAATATTAGGAAAACATCATAACATAATACAAAAAAAAATAGTATTTTTATTAAAAATATTTTTTGTTACTATTTTATAATAAAAACACTGTAACATAATATAAAAACATTGTAACTGCCTCATCCCTTGCGAAACAGAATAAATAAGAATATACATACATACATAGGCAAAAAGAGACGAGTCCACGGACACGCCACCGAAGCCCAACCCGTTCTCCACCAGTTGTTCTCCACGTGCAAGCCTTCGCCACATGCCTGCGGTGCTCCGATCCCCAAAGATCGGGCTCATGCGCTGCGACTCGGTGTGCGGCGCAGTTACCGAGGAGGGTGGATCAGACATGTATGGCGAGCTGACTCATCACGCTGGCCCCCAGAGGATAAATTTGCAAGCCAGATGTAGAGCTTATAATGATATGGACAGGTTTACATTGTCTATCATAAATTATTCGATTCGAGTCGAGTTCGAGTTGATGTTTAAATAATCGATTTAATTAAGACTAATTTGGTATAAAAAGTGGCACAGAATATTATAAATATGATGACTAATTATAGATTTTTTTTATAATTAATTAATTTTTTATATCTTAATTTTTATATTTTTAAAAATTTTATTAAAAAAATTATACTTATAAAAAATAAAAATAAAATATGAAAATATCATATTTATCCGGTGATAAATTGAAATAAGATAAAATCGACATAAGTATAAGGATCTTAATATTATTAAAATATTTTAAAATAATTTATAAATAACTTTAAATATCGATATACTACGGATAATTCATGAGAAATATGATAGCCAATGTTATGGGGGGCTCCAATGTTAACGTGCGCATGCATCTTACCAGAGCATATCCATAGCACGCCCCACCAATCATCTTTTGAGGGCAAATGCATGTGCTTTGTACAACGTGATACTTCTGATGATGCAAAGAAACGAGTGGGAATTGCGGATCACGGAACCAATACGTGATCAATTAGAAAAAAATTGTTGCATCGAATATGTCACATCAACAAACATATATATATATATATATATATATATATATATATATATATATATATATATATATATATATATAT